CGTAATACATAATATTTAAACGGAATGAAGGGGAGGAGCGACCTAGGGAGGAGAATAACGCGCAGCCGTCATACAACGGATTCTCGCCGCGACCAAAAGTACTGAAATTGTAAACAACCATCGCGATATTTTCCGCAGCGAAAAACCGTTGAAATTGCTCAATTTCACGAATTCCGCATCCCTCCTCGGGAATCGTGATACCCGCAGAAATCGTTAATTCTTTAGCCAACTCGCGTTGTAAAGAAGAACACTGATGTCTCACGGATTCCCATCTTTCATGTAGTTCTCCTACGCGTAATTGCCCGCGATCGTAATGCACGCGTGCCGCTACAAGCGAACGGGGAAAACATAAATTGTCGGAATTGACAATTTGTAAAATCAAGCGTTTGACTACGTCTTCGTGCGTTAATCGATTGGACTGACGTCCGCGACCGGTAGATAGCGCAACTCTAAAAACGCGTACCGTGAAATTTTCCGCGATATCGATTCCTCCAGCACCTTGCGCCAACGAACTCACGAGCCTCCATATGTCCTCGTGGGTTAGGTCACGTGCTGGACGAAACGACAAACCCGCTAGACCACGCGTTAGATCACTCGACTCAAACGATAATCCGACGTAATCGCTCGGTTCGCACGTATATATCGCATACGTTCGAATTTCACGAAACGCGTTTTCTAGCCATTGAGCGATATCGCTACCTTCAGGTGGCGGCCGTATCGCGAAAGTCGCCTCTCTCCCCAGAATCGTGAAATTCCTAAATTGCCGCGAGTTTTCCGTCCGCAAATCTATATAATTAAAATTATTGACCTTGTGCTGACGACATCGTTGCTCCTGTTGCTGATGATCCTGCTCCTGATCTTCATTTTGAGCCTGACGAGGTGTCGGTGGTGTCGACGGCGACGATGCAATTGTCGACTGACGGGGCCGCGGGGGCGACGCTAGTTGACGATCTCCCCTTTGTGAAGGCGAAGGGAGAGCGTCTGAGGCAGTAATGCACATTTGGCTCCCCGGCAACACGAGAATCAGCCCCACCACTCTCGCTGTCTCGCTCCCTCATGAGGGCTGAACAGCACCACCACCAATTTGTACTGAAAAGTTAAACAAAATCTTTATTTAAATTTCGTTGACTTTGCTATATTATGTCTAAAACTTATCCCCCTCCCCACGTGTCATAATGTAACAGAAAAGTAAGGTAACTCACCTTTAGCCGCTTCATATGATCGTGAGCCGAGGATATTTTTTCGCTCGAGAAGTCTCACTAATATTCCAGCGACTGCGGTAAAACCGGTGAGTAGAAAACTTTTAATAGAGAAAATATACGTTTAAGAAAAATTTCTCGAAACAACGGCATAAAAGTAAACAATAAAATATTATTACTTTCGACGTAATTGTCGCCCTCCTCTTCTCCGACTTCCTGCGTCACGTCCTGTGTCTCCGAAATTTCGTCA